AGAAGATAACAAGATACTTGGGGCTAATTGGGAGCGTTTCATTTTCAGTCTGAATTACCCAGAAAACTAATGACTGGAATGGCCAACTACTCCTGGGCATGGGCCCTTTCCCTTGAGTGTGGTTGATATACCCAAGTAACACTCGATTGGAAAAAACTGATTTCCCTTTTCCTAGTAGGTATCAATTGGAAATAGCTTTGCTAGAGGTGGCACTTTGTGTGTACCCTTCTCAGTTCAGTACTGGGATTTTGTCTGGTTTGAAGCTCTATGAGGGGTTTGTCCTTATAGCACAAATTTCTTGATGAAGCACATGGAATAGAGCTTACTTTGGAGTGGAGCATTGCCAATTATGCGGGAAGTTTGAAACAGTGAGAAAGTGCTTAATGATGAATTAAGAGAGTCTTGGCTTTGGTTCCTGCTTTGTCATTAATTTATTTACTTAACCCTCTGGGTGAGCTTGTTTTTCCATATCTATGAACCAGATTTATTGTATAATACCCGTGGTGCTTTTTGGGAACCAGAGAATTCTTAGTGCATGGCTGAAATTCCTGGATCCTCTCCTAGGATATGTGTGTTTATGTACCTACCACACAAGACTTTTTTTTTTCATGGCAGGGGGCTCAAAACCATCTGTAGAATCTGTTTAAGGATGTGTTGGTTAGATCATTAAAATTTCAGGTTTTTTTTCAACTGTAAAACTTGGAACTATTTTAATATCGAAAGTGAAAAGCAAGATATTATATCTGGGAAATGGGGAAAAGGAAGAAAACAGGGAGCATGGATAGATTTGTATTAAGTGGATCACAATTTCTTTAGGAACTCTTAAAGGAGATTGATAGCAGCCTTGTGTACAACATCTACTCAATGATAAGTAGATAAGTGATCTATTTAATGATAGCTGACAGCACTTTTCATAGTCCATAGTGTGGGCCAGGCACCATTTTAAGCACTATGATTTAGTCTTCACAGTGTATGCTTTATCATTGTTTTTAAGTAGTCATAGCATTAAAAGTAGTTAAGCAATAAAAATAAAATAACTTGCCTGAGTATATGACAGTAAACATCTCTTACTATAACAGCTGTCCAGCCTTTACTTTATATATCTGGCAAACACCATCCTGTAAAATTCTTGCAAAGCTAAAACACTTTACCCGTTAATAACCTTTCCAGTCCCCAATTCTGATCTTTGCATTAGTGAATTTGATTGCTGTGTGTACCACGTGTAAGTGGAGCAATACAGTATTTGGTTTTGTGGGGTTTTTTTTCCCCTCTACTTAGTACCTGCTCCTACATGCTATCCCCTATCCCCAAAAGTATGAATAATACTCTATCTTATATATGCACCATATTTTGTTTGTCCCATCCACTCATCAATGGTCATTTTAATTATGAACTGGAAATTGCTGCTGTGAACATTGGAATGCACATACCCCTCTAGGACCCTGCTTTCTGTATTTTGGGTGTGTACAAAGTGTGTACAAAGCACAACTGCTCGTCATCAGCTCACTCTGGTTTTAATCTTTTGACAGATGTTGATACTATTTTCTACTGCATCCTGACCACCACTTAATGTTTGTTATTTACTTGTTGCTCTTGTTTTGTTCTGTTTAAGTTCTCATTCATTCAATCATCCATCCATCCATCCATCCATCCATCCATCCATCCATTGATTTGGTTTTGGGCAACAATTTCTCTCTCTAGCCCTGGCTGTCCTAGAATTTAAAAGCTGACCTCAAACTCAAGAGATTTGCCTGCCTCTGCCTCCTGAGTGTTGGGATTCAAGGTGTGTACCACCAAACCCGGCTTTAGTTTTTATTTTATTAGAGGTTTTTTATTTTTAAACTTGAAGGCAAAAATGGGGTACACGATTTTTTTTTCTCTTAACAACTAGAATGTTATTTAAATTTTTTCACATTCTTGTGATTTTGAGCCTACTCCTCAGTGGTTTAGTGAAACATCCTCTGCTTTTCTACTAAGTTTATTAGTGTTCACACAGAAGTGTACAGCTTACTATTTAAACTTTACCTGTGTACAAAATTAAATACTTGGTTCATTTTGTAATATATTAGCTAATTAGACTTCTTTTTCTGATCCTGTAAAAGAACCTTTTTTGTGTTCTGCCTTTTTACTGTTGTTTCTGTCTTCATTGTGTTAGGCCTTTTTAACCTCTCTTTCATGACTTGAAAGGAACCTTGTTAGAAAATAACTTTTATTACTTTTTGTCAGATTTCCTTCTGATTAAGCTATGAGGCTTCTTCAAACATGTTCTGACAGTCTAGTTATTGGGTACTTAGTTTGGGGGTATTTTGAAAGTGTGATTTGAAGTGTTTGTTTACTAGCAGAATAAATACTTAGTATTTGTAAAGTTTTTTCCCTCTTGTAAGAAATGAATGAAAACATTGTTATAGATGCTCATGTGAGAAATTGAGTTTAATTAACCTGCTTGACCACATCAACTTTCACAGATAATTAGAGCGTTTGTAACTTTGGCCATAAGTGAGGTCAGCCAGGAAGGTGTAGGTGAGTAACACATGACTACTCTGGCTCTTTAGAGTGTTGTTAAGTTGTGAAAGGTGTGGAACTATTGCTCTTTAAGACGTCAGATGTTTCATAAAGACTTACCATGTACAAAACTGAGTTTTCTGATTTGCATATAACCCAAGTTTGTTAGAATTTGTGTCCTAAATATTCTACTGAATTCTTTTATTTGACACTTTAAGTAATTTTTTTTTAACATGTACTTATTTTGTGAATATACAGAGGGCAGAGGAAAACTTGAAGGGGCAGGGTCTCTTTCTCCTTATGTTGTCCTGGGAGTGGAACTCTGGGCTATTAGTCTTGGCAGCAAGCAAGTTTGCAGACTTAGCTAACTCCAGAACCCCACCTTTTGTTTTAAGATGGCTAGCTTCTCTTTGTATAGGCCAGATTGACCTAGAACATTAAATTCTTCCTTAGCCTCGGTTTATGGGTGTATGCCACCACCCCCTTGACCTGTTTAATCTTTAAAAGCAAACATTGTTTAAAATGAACACTAGATGGGAATATTAGAACTGAAATTTCCCTCCTTGTGCACAGTGATTACTTCATGAGCCTGTAGCCACTTACTCTAATTTGCTTTTCTGTAGCGTGGCTTTTAATACCATTTCTCGAGTAATAAAACTATTTGGACCATGTACCAGACAGAGGTATTCCTTGACTCTGTAGGGTCACTAACTTAAAAACTACTTTAGCATAGTGTGTTTTGGCACCTCTAGGCATGCTTTTGTATTCTGAGTTTGATCTTTTATATCCTAGTAAACAGGTGTCTTGGTGCATTTGAGGCATCAGAAGGAAAAGGATGAATTTTGCTAAAATGGTGGAAGCTTTATTATCTGTGGATAGAGCCAAGTATCTCCTTAACTCTTATCTGTTGGAAATAATAGGGACCCCTCAACCTTAATTAGATATTGGAGGGAGGAGTTTAGCATGAAGATCACCTGGCTAAAGATATAGATAGACTGCATCTCTCTACCTAACTCATCTGCCTATCATAATTGGTATTTTTAAACAAGAAGTGCTTTCTTAAAAACTCTTAGCCAGTCTTTATAGTTGTTCTTAGCAAGGTCTGAAAAACTATTCTTTCTAAGATAACGTATTATAGATGGTGTGTTTACAGTTTGGTTTATGAAGTGAACTATGAGTAAAATCAGTGACAGGCTCTGACTTCCTACCCAGCTCTGTGAAAGAACAGACATAGGATGGTACTCATTGTTTAATTCTCCCTTTTCCCCTATGGGTGCCTCCCCAGACTGGAAAGGTTCATCATGTCTACTATAGACTGCTTAGGCTAGGAGTAACTTCTATGGGAGAACTACAAATAGATTTAAAATGCGGTTTATCTCTGTGCTGATGAAATGGCTTTATTTATGGAACTTTAAGATACCTTTCAGGATATTTTTTATTTAAAATGTCTGGGTTTTGGATTTTGAAAGACAAGTTAAAAGCAGCAATTTTGTGAATTTTGTTTACATTTTTTGCAGTTGATTGTTACCAATGTTGGGCTTAAAAATAACTGTCTAATCCTGAGTTTACAGCATTTAAAATTAGTCCTTAATGTATTATATGTCTTTTGGAAATTTTTTTTAAGTCCTAGCCCCTCTTAAGTATAAGCAGTCTTTTGAAATTACATGGAAACATTTGCAAAAACAAAGAACTCTTGGAGAGATTTAAATTATTAGAACTACATTATTACTGTATTATATAAAATCAACAGGGAGATTCTTCTTGGAATAAGTTGTGAAAACGTTCTTGCCCACCCCCAGGCTGAATTCCTTCTCAGTGCTAATAAGCAGTAAAGAAAACACTTGGCAGCCAGGCGGTGGTGGAGAACGCCTTTAATCCCAGCACTCGGGAGGCAGAGGCAGGTGGATCTCTGTGAGTTCGAGGCCAGCCTGGTCTACTGAGCTAGTTCCAGAACAGGAACCAAAAGCTACGGAGAAACCCTGTCTCGAAAATCAAAAAAAAAAAAAAAAAAAAAACACTTGGCATTGCCACTCAGCAAAGATTTCAGTGTGTCTCATCCTACTGTCTACTCTTTTACTTGAAGATCTTGTGAACTAGTTTAACACATGTATATCTTTGATACGTGTTCCAAGTTGCAACTTTTGTCTTAATGATAATTATTTACACATCAACCTTTTGCTATAAATGAATATTAATTTTACATATCTATGCTTAAGCTTCTGGGGTATTCTTTATAGTTTCATTGGCTCTCTGGCATGTCTCCTTATAATAATTGTTTAATACTCCCCAGGCTTATAATTTTGCCCATTTTTGCTGTATAGTAGAAAAAAGTTATTTTAAATTTGTTTTAATAATCATGAATTGTAAAGATTTGCTTTTACATAACTTGAGATACTAGAAATTAAAAAGTACTTGAAATAATTTTTGTTGTAGGTTCTTATGATTATTTTATATTTGCACCAATTTTGCTTAACATTTTGTTTTTATTTTTACTACAGGACCGTGTGTATGTACAACAAAATAATGTAGAAAATGTCTACAATTTGGGATTAATAATTTTTCGAGATCAAGTTGTACGTTATGGGTGTATTAGGGATCATCTTCGGCAAACTTTATTGGATATGATTGCCAGAGAGCGGAAAGGAGAAGTTGTAGACAGGTATTTCCTTAGTTTTGTTTTTTTTAGTGTTTATATCTTAATGTCATAATTTCATTGAAACAATTAAAAACTTCAATTTACTTATTAAAAGCTTCAAACACTTTCACTGTTTTAAGTTACCTAGAATCTAAGGCTCCCATCTTAGGCTTCTTAGATTGTTTTTTCTTTTTTAAGGACACTTTTTAAATTTTTTTTCTCCTTCCTCTTTATTTATGTATGTGTACACACACAGACACACTTCGTTTTCTTGCATTCCTGGGGATTGAACCTAAGACTTCACTCATGCCAATGCTGCATCTGTAGCCTACCCCCCTCAGTAGTATGGTCTTACTGTGGACACAGGCCAGTAGTGAACTTTTCAACGCAGGTGTTTCCTCTCCAAGGCTCCCCGGAAACCTAAACTGTAGGCACATGCATTGTGCCTTGGTAGGCTTTTGACTCTTTTTCTTTTTTTTTTTAAAGAAAAATACTGCATGTAGCCTAAAACATCCCAGAACCATTTCCATGTCTTCCACTATCACGTTTCTCGACATTAAAGTACCATTTTTGTGATGGTGCTGCTGGAGTTTAAAACAAGTGGGATTCCTTCTCTTTGGTTTCAGAGGAGTGAGCTAGTAAAGTTCTTACTGATTGAACTTGCTGTTTAATCAGGATTGCCCAAAAGCAATTTATTAAAAAAATGTTGTGTTGTCATGATTTTATTTGTAGGTTGTCCTGCTGTCTGGCTTACTAACTTAACCTGTTTATCTTTTTATTTCCAGTTGTATCCCATTAAACTACCCCTGGTTTTTTTTTTTAAGTAAATAGAATTTTTTTTCTTAAGCATATTTTCTTAAAAATTTTTGTGAGACAAGAATAATTTGATGAAGAGCTTCATAATCAAGATGGACTTTGACTAAAATTATTCCAAATCTATTCTCCTTTTTTTTTTTTTTTTGTCTGTGTGAGTTGTTGTTGTTTATTTTTTCGAGACAGGGTTTCTCTGTAGCTTTGGAGCCTATCCTGGTACTCACTCTGTAGACCAGCCTGGCCTCGAACTCACAGAGATCCGCCTGCCTCTGCCTCCCAAGTAATGGGATTAAAGGTGTGCACCACAACCACCCAGCTCCAAATCTATTCTTAATAAATGAGTTTTCTCTGGAAAACTGTTTCCTTTGATAAAAACTAAACGTTACAAAGGTATTTCTCAACTTTTATATATTTTACACGTCTTTAATATATTTGATTATCAATTAATTAAATTTCTTTTGACAGAGGAGCAATAAGAAATGCTTGCCAGATGTTAATGATTTTAGGTCTTGAAGGAAGATCAGTCTATGAGGAAGATTTTGAAGCTCCTTTTTTGGAAATGTCTGCAGAATTTTTTCAGGTAATCAATAGCTAGAACTCCTATGATGATCATAACATTGTTCAATGAAGTTAATTAGTCTGAACATTTTGACTTGTTTCAGCTAGAACCCATTGCGGGGGATGATACAAATAAAAAAAAAAAACAAAACTAAAAACCTTTTTAGAACCCCTACTTCATGTTTCTACGCATCAGTGAACTGCTTATTAATAATAATAAAAAAAATTCCACTTTAAAATTGTATGGTTAAAAAAAAACCCTAAGTGTATGGGCTTGAGAGATGACTCAGAGGTTAAGAGCACTGGCTACTTACTCCTTTAGAGGTCCAGAGTTCAATTCCCAGCAACCACATGGTGCCTCACAGCCATCTGTAACAAAATCTGGTGCCCTCTTCTGGCCTGCAGGTATACATGTAGGCAGAACACTATATACATGGTAAAGAAATAAATTTTAAAGAATACAAAAAACAAAACTCATCTCCAAAATATACTGACGTGCCATGCATATGTGTGTATTACAAGTTTGCTTAAAAGTACACATGCACTGTTTATTATGATTGGAGATGGTCCAACCAAGATTTTTGCTAATATTAAAGTCTGTTCTTAGGATCTTGATATTAAAGACTAAAACTATTTTTGCTAGGTAGAGAATGTTACAAATTTTTTGTATAGCATGTATCAGCATGTCTTACTATGTAATTCTTAGATGTATCAGTTAATGTTACTATCAGGTACATTAAAATCTTGGGATGACACTACTGATTCTGAAATCAGTAAGATTAGTGTTTGATAGACAGAATTAATAGTTATTTAAATGTTCTTTTCTTCAAATTGCATATATATGTGCTTTAAGTTTGGGAGTGGGGTGGCAGGAGAACTTCAGTTACAGTGGTGTGTTAGCAAAGCCTATGACACAAATATTTGTAGTTACAGCTTACAGTAATAATGGAAGAAGTCCAGCTGCTGACTCGGGTCAGATGCTTCACTTTGAGCAGATCTTTAAAACAATGTTTACTGAATGTGTTAATTTAGTTTTATGTAAATAAATGCTTTAAAGCCTAATTTAGTAAGAAACTGAATGAAATGTCTTCAGCTGTTACACTACTTGATATGTTCTACGTAAATACTATAGAGACCCTGTTTGAATAAAAACAGCTTTTTTCTGTTATGCTTTTTAAAATTCTTAATTGCAGATGGAAAGCCAGAAATTTTTAGCAGAAAATAGTGCTTCGGTGTATATAAAGAAAGTAGAAGCTAGAATTAATGAGGAAATAGAGCGGGTGATGCACTGCCTTGACAAATCTACCGAAGAGCCCATTGTCAAGGTGGTTGAGAGGGAACTCATTTCCAAGCACATGAAGACTATTGTAGAAATGGAGAATTCTGGGCTAGTACATATGTTGAAAAATGGAAAGACAGAAGGTAAGTGTCATCAATTAAAATAAATCTTTATTCTTTCCCATCAGTCTTTTAATTCTAACTTAGGAATGTCAGTTTTCAAAAAGCTATGTTTTATAGTAATAATTTGCCCCAGTTGGCACTAGGGTGGGGTTAATGACAGAGCTTTACATTGTGTTATACATGAAAATGTTAATATATTTCTTGAATTTGGTGGCATTTTCCCATGCTTTTTACAGTTTCCTCATTTCCTTTTCTCTGGTACAAAAGATTAAGAAGTTTAATATTTAACTACAGGCCAGTGGCTTCCTCCTTCATATATGTATTTTCCTAAATGCCAGTTAGTGTGAGTGCTTTCTAGTCTCACAGAAGTTCATACAAGGTGGTTTTGTCTGTTTTTGTCCGTCTGCCTGCCTTCATCTGTGTTGTGTGTCCTTGTGGTTCTGGATTAGAATATTTAGAAAACCCTAGTAGGCAAGTAAAAAATGATAGCATTTTCTGAGATAATACATTAACTATAGCAGTCATATTGTTAATTTTAGTTTGCTGTATTTGCCTTGAAAGGTTATGAAAATGATTGGTTTTGTATAAGAAGTTCTTGGTTCTAGTGCTTTGGTTTGAAGCTTGCATTTTACATGAGAGTGGTGATTTTTTTTTAATAGCCGTCGATGTTTTCCTGCTTCTGTGATTAAAAAAAAAAAATCACTGCATTTTAGCTGCTTACTATTAGTAAAAGGAGTCATACTGCCTGTTTGTATGAACTAGATAAGGAATGGAAAAAGTATATTGTTTTGCTTTTTAAAAACAATTATCAAAAAATAAGACCTAGGAGGGGTGAAGTTAGAGAAATACTAGCAGGAAAAGAGGATTTATCCTCTTAATCTCTAGTGGAATCCTTGACTTATGTTTTCATTTATAGTAAATATGTGGTAGATTAAAAGAAAAACCTATATACAAAGTTGTTTTTATTAACAAGGATGCTTTATTTTTTTTCTCATAAATCTTTTTTGAGAAAACAAGTTGTCTAGTTTATTTGCCGTGTCTGGATTCTAAAATACAACACTCTTGGATACTTGTCTAAGTCAGATTATAACATTTTTTCAAAAACAGTTCTGCTGAATTTATTTGTTGAATTTATTTGTTGCGGAAGTCGAGAGAACAACTTGTGGAAGTTGGTCCTCCTTCCATCATGTCATCATGTGAGCCCTGGGAATTGAATTCAGGTCATCAGCTTGGGCAGCAGGTATTTTTAACCCCTGAGCTGTCTGCAAGGCTCCTAACAAGCATCTTGCAAAGTAATAGATAACAGGTATTTTAGACTATGTGCTGCTACTTTGAAAAGGTAACCACTGACAAACCCAAGAAAAGAGCCTGGCTGTTTGTATAAACTACGTTTATGGAAATTGAGTTTAGGGCCTGGGAAGTGTTTGAAATTTCTGGACATGCTTGAATGACAATATTTCTTTAAGCTTCATGGAGACATGAATGTAAATGTGGTAGGTATACCCATTCTGGCAAGCACTCTTAAGTAGTAGAATAGCTGTTTTGGTTTTACTCTGTTTAGTTCTTAGTGTTGTTAGCAGGTAGCTAACCTGTGATTTTAAATTTTTCTTTAATAACTTCCCTGCCCTACCACTAGAAGCTTAATCAAAGAATGTGTGTGTTAATTGTGGTGGGCCTTGCTCATCAGCAGTTGTTGTCAGACACAATTTCATTCTTCTCATAAATCAGAGTAAAGGAATAGTTCGCTTACTGTGAGTGGAAAATAAATGAACATTAATGATAAGATACATACAGCAGTATGAAAATTCAAATGGTATTGTATTCTTGACTTATTTTTAATTAAGCATAGAGAAATGACACATAATTTTTGAATGTCAAACTTTCGATTACTTGTTAACATTGTCTAATATCCCATATATTTAATTACACTGAATCAAGCAGTGTAGTAAAATTATATTGATTAGTATACTGCTTAAATGTACAAATAAGTAGAGTTTAAAACATAGGATAAAACAGGACTTTAGAAAGAGTTTGCTACGGGTATTTGGCATGCAGAGCTTGGTGTAGTTTGTAAATTATTTTTGTACGTTATAATGACTTTAATATGGAAAATTTTGGTTATAATCTATTAAACAAACACATAATTTGCCATATATAGGTTACCCTGGGAATGTATTACAAATAAGAACGTGTTAATATAAGTTGAGATTAAGTCAGTGAGTCAAATATTAGTGACCTATGTAAGAGACACCAACTTTAATTTTAGGTACTAATTGGTTTATAAATAAGGCCCAAGGTAGACAATTATGGTTTGTCTGTCAAATCTGACCTCTTAACGGGTTTTTAAAAATAAAGACATAGCAGAATGAGAATAATAATATGCTAGGATTATATAAATTTTCAATATTCATGAAACTTTTTTTGAACAATCATTCATGCTTTTCTCTGTGAATGCTTGCCTATTGTGATGACAAAAACTGATTTTGTATCAAATATCTTATGACCTATTAGCCTATAATATGTATTGTCTAGTGCTGAATAGAAGATGGTAGACCAGCAATGACCTAAAAATTGCCGTTCTGACACAATTTCCGAAAGTTTCTGACAGTAAATATTTTTTCTATTATCGTAAATTTCTGACATTAGTTTCTCCATAAGCGGCTCTTTGGAGCAACACAGGGCATATGGAAGAAACTTATTTAAGATCTGCATTTGGTGGTGCTGAAATGCTATAAAAAAAAAAGTGGGTAAAGACCAAAGTCTAAAATTAAGCAGTGCAGTGTGGTATACCCAGTATTTAAAATAGAAATATAGACAGTGTCATTGGGAAATAACTAGTAATTGCCCGGAATTACTCGGAGTAAGAACATTTTTTTAAAAATGAATATTTAGATTTTAAGTTTTATGCAAAAGTACTGTGTACTTTTAAGTCTTATTTTAATAACATTTTATTTATTGTAGTGGTTGTCAGTTCAGATGTAAGATATTAATTGGTTTTAGATTTCTTCCTAGTGACTTCTAGTTACAGCTTTTAGCAGACATTTGCAGTATCTGTTGTTTCTACAATATAGTAACAGAATGAATTATGTACAGGTTCAAATATCTGTCACTTTGGTGGCATAGTTTATGCTGTTTGAATTCCTTCTGTATAAGTGAAAATATGCCAAGATACTTTTATTGGTGCTTTCATCACATCTAGTCAAGCACTGTAGCTCACAAAATTGTAGCTTTCAACTAACCAGCACCTTTTATTTTTGTGTGGGCAACAAATGATAATAATTGATAAGTAAACTTTCTTGAACAGATCCACATTCTTACCTTAATCTTTAATGTAACTAGTCTGTTTATTTTATAATTCTAGATCTTGCTTGCATGTACAAATTATTTAGTCGTGTGCCAAATGGTTTGAAGACAATGTGTGAATGTATGAGTTCTTATTTGAGGGAACAAGGAAAAGCCCTTGTTTCCGAGGAAGGCGAAGGGAAGAATCCTGTTGACTATATCCAGGTAGATAAAAGTTTTGCATTCATGATAAACATTTAGCAAGTACTTTATGGATCACTTTTGCTAAGTGTATGTATTATATATCCGAGCTAAGTATTTTAAAATATTTCAAGGTGTTCGTTACATATGTAAGGGAACTGGACTCAGCTACTGTTTTTTGTTGATTTTTAGTAACCTAGTCAAGATTTGTTTAATCTGAATAACAAAAACTATACTATTTTTGTGTGTTAGTGTTGAAATGCAGGAAAAGACGTTATGTTTTTTTTCTATTTCTTTTTTTACTGTTTTTATTAAGGTACACATTTTACCCACTCCCGTTTCCTTCCTCCCCTCTTCCCTTCCACCTTCACAAACCCCCCCCCCCCACGCTCCCAATTTACTCAGGAGATCTTGTCTTTTTCTCCTTCCTAAATGGATCCATGTCTCTCTTAGGGCCCTCTTTGTTGTCTAGGTGTCTGGAGTTGTGGACTGAAGGCTGGTTATCCTTTGCTTTATGTCTAATATCTGCTTATGAGTGAGTACATATTATATTTGTCTTTCTGGGTCTGGGTTACCTCACTCAGTATGCTTGTTTTTTTTTCCTAGTTCTGTCCATTTGCCTGCAAATTTCAAGGTGTCATTATTTTTTACTGCTAAGTAGTACTCTATTGTGTAAATGTACCACATTTTCCTTATCCATTCTTTGGTTGAGGGGCATCTAGGTTGTTTCCAAGTTCTGGCTATGACAAATAATGCTGCTATGAATATAGTTGAGCAAATGGACTTTAAAGAATTGCTCACCATCCTTAGTCATCAGTGAAATGCAAATCAAAACTACTCTGAGATAACTATCAGATAACTGGTCAGAATGGCCAAGATCAAAAACACCAATGATAGCTTATGTTGGAGAGAATGCAGAGTAGGAGGAATACTCCTACATTGCTGGTATGAGTGCAAACTTGTGCAGCCACTTTGGAAATCAGTATAGCCGTTTCTCAGAAAATTAGGAAACAATCTTTCTCAAGACCCAGCAATAACAAGTTGTATTGTAAATGCTTAAATATCAAAATGTTTTTAAACAGTACTTTGACTAAATTGTACTCTAAGTTGTTTTAATATGAATAATCAGTGTTTTTTTTTAAAACTAATACTCTTTGGCTACCCCATTTGGTCCAGATAAGAGGGTGAGGAGAAACAGTAGCAGTGGTTTTCTTTGTTGGTTGTAAAATGTTAATATTTCATTTATTTTTGTGTGGAGGGGGCAAGAGATGCATATACATGTGTGTGCCATGTAGAAGTCAGAGGACAGAGTCGTTTCTCTCCTATCCTCTTTGTCCAACAAGTACATATGCCCACTGAGCCTGTACATCTTTGGACCCTGTTTGATTTTGATATATTACACGTATGTGAATCACTAACATTAGAACTTAGAAACTAACTGGAAAATAATAATAGTCTATAAAATTAACATTAAATAGTCTATAAAATTAACATTAAACCAATAATTACCAACAAAGTTATTTTACTTACAAGTATTTTACTTAGAACATTTTTATAATATTTCATAAATTTGTTTTTATTTGTAAGGGCTTATTGGATCTGAAGAGTAGGTTTGATCGCTTCCTCCAAGAATCCTTCAATAATGACCGGCTCTTTAAACAGACTATTGCTGGGGACTTCGAGTATTTCCTAAACCTCAACTCCAGGTCTCCTGAATACCTCTCATTATTTATTGATGATAAGCTGAAAAAGGGAGTCAAAGGGGTAAGTAGTAATATATTGGAAAATGCAGGTTTTACTTCCTGATCTAAAGTTCAGAAATAAAATTAAGTTTTACAGATAAAAATGAAGCACGGGTCTTTACTGTGCTTATATGCTATGGTCTTCTAGACAGACAATTCTGTTTAAAGTCTTAGACATGCCAAAGGTTGCTTACCATTTCTTATATAGTTTTTCTTGTTAAAAATTGCCCTAAAAGTAAAAGCACAAATACCACAATAATTTTAAAATGATTGCCTTTGTAGCTAAAAAACTAGTTGCGCGAGGGATGACAAAACTGGAAAACTTGACAGCAGTTGTAGATTGTTGCTTTTATCTGGTTCTGGGTGTAGGATATCAAGTAGGGCTTGGTTTTTGAGGAATTTGAAGGCGTACTTGGAAAACCAGTTCTCTGAAATATTTTGAAAGTTCCACATACTGAAGCATAATTTTAAGTTTCATCTCTGGGACCTTGGGTACCATAAAAAATCAAATTAAGCTATTTTAAACCTCATCTTAGAAATTCTGAGACAAAGGAAAAAGGCAGCAAATGGCTGAAGATTAAGGGAGGCTACTGCTAAGTTAGAAAACAAACCTACCGTCTGCAAAGAATTCACATTCATTCTAATCTCTCTTTTCTAAAAGCACAAGCATAATACAACCCACTACTTATTCTCTTTCCTTTATTTAAGAGATAAAGCAAAAAGGCCCTTTTTAAGGATTTAACAAAAATTTACCCATATGTCTACCAATTTTGAGGTTTTTAATGAAGTCTTAAAAAAATCTCTTATGGCCATGTAAATTTCTGCAGAAAGTTTTAATGTATCCTTTGTTAGTGAAACTTCATCTGTTCTTAGTCCAGCCCTGTAATAATTAATGTCCCATCTGAGTAGTCTCCACTCTTTAAATACATTAGAGAGTATAGGAATGAATGAAGTAGAGCACATTCTCAAATTATGTCCTTTCCCTTAACTATGATAGTTTTTAAACTAAATTGTCTTTTGATTACTTTTGCAGCTAACAGAACAAGAAGTAGAAACGATATTGGATAAGGCTATGGTCCTTTTTAGGTTTATGCAAGAAAAGGATGTATTTGAACGTTATTATAAACAGCACCTGGCAAGGAGACTGCTCACGAATAAAAGTGTTTCTGATGATTCTGAAAAAAATATGATTTCTAAATTAAAGGTAAGCTTTATTTTAAAATGAATGTAGTATGCCTAGCTATGTTAATTGTGTGGTTGGTTGAACATAGCAACATCAACATATAGTTAGAAATTGTTTGATTTTGAATATTTACTTCCAAACTGATTCAGGGTAGTCTGGTTTTGAATGTGGGGTGGGGGCAGAGGGTGCTTTGCTTTCACTTGTTCAAAGTACAGAACATCAAAGTTCTCAAGTTCTGTTGCATAGAGCGGTTTCTGAACTAACCTGTACCAGAATCATTTGAGATGTTTGTAGAAAATGTCAGAGTTCAGGCCCCACTTTCCATGGAGTATATTAGAATTTCTGAAAGAGCCTGGTAAAGATAGTTAAAACTAAATCCTGAAGTTAATCTTAAACATCTTAAAATTTAAAAGCCATACACATAAAGTGGGAAGACTTTCAGAGGAGATAATCAGGGATGGCAATAACATGAAAGTCTTTGTTTCTATACCTTTTCTTAGGAAAATCCATTATTTATTTGTATGTATTTGTGTTCTTTCTCCATAGACTGAGTGTGGGTGTCAATTCACATCAAAACTGGAAGGAATGTTTAGGGATATGAGCATCTCAAACACAACTATGGATGAGTTCAGGCAACATCTACAGGCAACGGGGGTAAGAGACTGCATTAATTTCTCAAATGTTGAATCTTTTAAATATAGAAAGTATATATATAGTCCATATACTTGGAAGCTACTCTAGACATACAATTAATAATAATATTGGGGCTGGACAGATAACACAGAGATTAAGAGCTTTATTGGGTCCCAGCCTGTTAGGCACCTTACAACTAACTGCGTGTAACTCTACCTCCCAAGGGCTCTGACACCCTCCTGTATCAAGAGGACAACTGCACTCATGCACAAACTCACACAGACACACATATAAACATAATTAAAACTATTAACTTAGGAAATTCTTAAATGTAATTGTTTATGCTGCAGACCTTAAACTTTAAATCTCCTAAGCTTTTCCCTGTGTTGGAAGCAGTTGATGGACAGCATCAGAGTCAGCAAAGCAACTGTGAGCGTCCTGAAGTCTTTGAGTTCTATTAGAATGTTGTGGATCTTCAAGCTGAATACAACTCTTCTGAGGGTTTGGGCTTGTTGAAATCTATTCAACACAGTGGTCCTTTTATTTACTTTCAGGAGTCATACAACAAATATTTTGCTCTAAAATAAAAATAGAATACATGTGATTACTTGTAGTATTTAGGGAATTACAAGTGTTTGTTTATTTTTTCCTGTTTCTTTTTAAGAGAGCAGAAAGCCTAACGGTGAGAGTAATGCTAGTGTGTATTTCACTGAAGTTGTCATCTATCATATAGATAGATGTTTATTGAAAACAGGTACATAACACTGGACCTACAGCTAATGTTAGTTATCTAGGTAAAAATGTTCAAAGCATAGATGAAAGATAAAGTTAGGTCTTAAATAATTTTACTCACATCTAAGAATTATCCTGTCATTATTTTAAATTAACAGCTTAGGCAATAATTATAATTACTTGGAAAACTAAATATATCCAGTTATTAAGATCTCTTTTCTTTATTAGATTCTAGACATGAAGATATCTACTTTGCAACTACTTTGCTAATTACAATAGAGACTGTATGGGTGGGTAGGTACTGAATCTAGTCTGTTGTAGTTCATCTCTTTCTATTTGTATAGGTATCTTTAGGTGGCGTTGATCTCACAGTCCGGGTTCTCACAACGGGATATTGGCCCACTCAGTCAGCCACACCAAAGTGCAACATCCCACCAGCACCAAGACATGCTTTTGAGATATTTAGAAGGTAACACCTAAAAAGACTCTGTAAATAACCAAATTTGAATTTTGTTTTCACATTAGTCATATTTCTTATCAGTGGTAAATATATTTTACTTTAAACCTCATATTCAGAAGAATTTATATTAGTAACTTTTAGCGTGTAAGAACAGCTTAAAAAGAACTTCACAAGAGTGTCAGTGTCCTTCCTTTGGCATCAGTATATGTTAATTGTTAGGTTTTGCACTGTTAGTGTTGGTCACTGGCTTAGGATAGACTGTGGAGACAGTCCTCTGAACAGCTGGCTTGGTCAAAGTGTGCAAGAGGAATGATTGAGTGTGTTGGTACCTAATTAAGTTGCATTGATCTTACTTACATCAACAGCCTGTACTCCGCCTTCACTTTCCTCTTATGGTAAAAAGCAGGAACAGAACCTAAAGGCCTCCTACATCTTTTAATGCCTCTTATCTATATGTTTGCAAAGGGTTGTCTCACAGTTTGTAATTTCAAATGTATAAATTGTATAAATTTTTAAAACCTAGTTTGCTTTGCTACAGGTTCTACTTAGCCAAACACAGTGGTCGACAGCTCACACTCCAGCATCACATGGGTTCTGCAGATCTCAATGCCACCTTTTATGGTCCAGTTAAAAAGGTAAATGTTGACTCTTGCAGTATGCAGAGTAACTTAAAAATTTGTGGACAGAGCTTCTGTGTGATTTAGGTTGACGTGAGGATAGCTGTCACTTCCATCTCGTAAGTTGGAAAACTTAAAATCTCTGTTTCTGTTTATTATGTGTATTCTTTTGTTTGCTGACTGCATTTGAAAATGTGAAGATTATGTCTTCTTAATTTAAAGAATAAAATAATAAGAAAATTGCAGATTTTATTTATAAGATTAAGACAGAGACCCTGTGGCCAAATATGTAAGTTGATTTTTAAGAGCATACAAAGCAAAGTACCCCTTTTGAAAATTCTTTTAGTTCTTCCTGTAAATCAATACCAGGAGATTGGCATTGATACTTATAAGACATGCAAATATTTGTAGAGTCATTTTTAAAGTGAAGTACAAGTAATTTGTTCCTGGTTTTTTTTGTTTGTTTGTTTGTTTTTGTTTTTTTGTTTTTTGAGACAGGGTTTCTCTGTGGCTTTGGAGCCTGTCCTGGAACTAGCTGTGTCTCGAACTCACAGAGATCCACCTGCCTCTGCCTCCTGAGTGCTGGGATTAAAGGCGTGCGCCACCATCACCCGGCTAGTAATTTGTTTCTTTTTAAAAAGTAATCTTTAAAAATTTTGAGGTCTAGACTGATAATTTATTCTTACTACTTGGTTTGAATCAAGCCTTAAAGTCGAAAATTAATCAACTTAGGCAGCAAAAAGTTTTATCTAGATTGTAACCTAGACTTGTTCATGTAATAAGTCAGTATGACACCAAAGCATTTTTAGTTTTGTTAAATGCATGTTTAAATATTGTTGTTTTTATATGTAATTAACATAGATGCAGAACTTTATAGATTCTTTAATTGAAAAAATATTTGGCACTGTATATAAAAACTTCTTGACTACACTGAACTGTTCACTTGCTGGAAAATGGGGACAGTCCCTTACTAAAGGGATGTGTGTGGGGGTGTGTACGCACACACAGTACATGTACATGAGTGTTAAGCAGGCTTTCTATTATATAGAAATGGGTTTCAGTATTTATTGGATGGGAGGAGAATATGGAATTTATTTCTGAAATTATGATTAAAGTTGGTAGGAGATAATGTCTTTTTTGTTTTTTGAAAAAATACAACAGGAAGATGGATCTGAAGTTGGTGTTGGTGGTGCACAAGTAACTGGTTCTAATACTCGGAAGCACATACTGCAAGTCTCCACTTTCCAGATGACCATATTAATGCTGTTTAATAATAGAGAGAAATACACATTTGAGGTATGGCTTATAGTAATAAACGTTTTGACCAGTGGTATTGTTTCTAACTATTGTTACATGAGCCTTTCTAAGTGGAGTTAACTTAAGAGACACTCTTAGAATCCAATTAGGAGAGACTGCGTAAAATTCATTAAACTTGGTGATCATCATTTATTACTGGGGCGTGTTTTGGTTTTGGTATTTTAAATTGACAGTATTTAGATATAGTTTTTATATTATATGAATACATACATAGCTTGCTAAGTTTGAAAAGTAGGTATTGTATCCATTATCACAGTCATGAGTACTACCTCCTATGTTTCTATGTAACTATTTACAGCCAATTCCCTCTAACCACTCTTGGTGCCAAATAACTAATGACTAATATTATATTTCTGTGGGTTGTTTTGCCTTTTTATAGAACTCTTATGTAAATAATATATGTGTTGTTTGTGTTGAGGTTTCATGGTTCATTGTTTTTAAATTCATCTTCTCTGTTATATAGTACCAGTAGTTGGTTCTTTTTACTGCCTGTGTATTTGCTACATTTTTTTAAATCACTTCACTTGTTGAGTTGTCTACGTTTTATCACCTGAACCAGTACCATGTTTAAAAAAAAAGCCAAGCATGGTGGCACTTACATATAATTCCAGAACTGGGGAGATAGGCCCCAGGCTTGTGAGAGACCTTTGAGAGGGAGGTAAAGAGAGAAAGGTGACTGCCTCCTCAGAAACTACCCCTAAGGTTGTCTTCTGAGAGTGTTTAAATTTTAAGCAACTGTCCTATCGTATATTCTGCAGTCCGTAGTTTCAGTCAGTTTAGTTTATGTTCAGTTGTATCATGGTCTTAATTTTCCTTTAATTATGTTGCACATATTTTATGTGTTTGTAAGCTACATAGGTATAATCTACACACACACTTGCAGATACAAATGCTTTGTCCCATTGTCTTAACTTTTCTATTTCTGTGGCAAAAACACCGTGACCAAGGAAACTTGTAAAAGAAAACATTTAATTGGACTTAGAGTTTCAGCAAATTAAGAGTCAATAAAAGGAGAGCAAAGGTGTTGTGTCAGGAATAGCTGAACTCCAGATCCACAAGTAGACAGAAAGCACTAGTTTCTTGAAACCTCAAAGATACATCCCCTAGGGAAAGCCCTCCTCCCACAATACCATACTTCCTAATCCTTTCCAAACAGTTCCATGAACTGAGAACAAAAGTATTCAAACATAAGAGCTGTGGGGTAGTTGTCATTTAAACCACATATGTTTATGCCACAAATATTTTTTCAGTCTATTGCTTGCTTTTTCTGAAGAAGAGAACTTACTAATATTTAAAGTTCAGTTAAAGTGGCTTTGTTTATTTTTTTTTCTTTTTTGGCTTTTTGAGACAGGGTTCTCCGTGTATGTACCCCTGGTTCCCCTAGAATTCGCTCTGTAGACCAGCCTGGCCAAGAACTCAGAGATCTACCTGCCTCTACTGAGATTGAAGGCATGTGCCACTGTGCCTGGCTCATTATAGTTTATTAATTTGATGTCAGAAATGATTTCCTGTCATGAGATTTGTAGAGATTTACTTCTAGCACTCAGAAGTAGTTTATAATTTTAGTTTTTATATTTAGATATGGTAATTTTCAAGTTAATTTAGATATGCTGGGATTGTAGGTGTGAGTTACCACATCAAGCTTTATGTGGTGCCGGGACCAAACCTGGGGCATCCTTCATGCTAGACAAGTGTTCTGCCAACTGAACTATATCCCTAGTTCCAATGGGTGTTTAGGTTTTTATTTGTTTGGCAGGGCATAATTGAGACAGGGTTGTTCTTTTATGTAGCTCTGGCTATCTCTTGCTGTCCTAGAACTTGCTCTGTAGACTTGCCTCCTAGGTGCTGAGGTTAAAGGTGTACCCCACTGCTGCCTAGCTCTAGTAGATGATCTTTAATTGAAGTTTTTGTGAATATTTTATGAAGAGTATGTTGTACCTGATAAATACTAAGGTTGATTTTGAGAGCTCTAATTTATTAAAGAACTAAGAAGTATGGTGGGATTCCAAATTTATTTTCTAGAACTACTATGGAATTGCTATGTTAACTGTAATGATTGAAGGTAGCTTTTCTTTTTCAACCAACTTGGGATCCATTGATGCTAACAAGCAAGTTTTAGGTAGAAGTTAGGTAGAAGAAAATTGCTCTAACATTGCCAATTTATCTAATTCATACACACTGAATTTTCTGTGTAGAATTCCATGCGTGTAATGGGCCTCAAAACCTTTGGATTTTAACTAAGGCATTGTGAGAAGAAATATGACACTTAACTTGGGCTGTACACTGTGTGTTACATCTATCCCTTCAATTCTGTTAGCCACCTCTTTCACAGAAATTAGAAAAGAGCTAAGTACTTCATAATTTTAAAGGAAGCTTTAAAATTTATACTTTATACGTCTTTGAGTTCAGAAAGGTGGTTAGCCACATAACAAATCCCAATCGATGTGCCTTAGAACACCTACTAATAGTCTGTTACCTCTTGGTTTCTCTGAGTTAAATGTTAGCTGGAGGTCACTTGTGTAACTGTGGCTTCAGGCCCTTTTAGCTAAGGTCCTTGGCAAGATTATATTTAATGGTCAGGTTGAGCTTAGAAAATCCAGTTATTTGACTGGGCTTTACACTCCCAACTTGTTTTTCATGGTGTGCAGATTTGTTTTGGGTGTTGGTAAAAGTCTATAGTTTGTAGTTTCTTTCCATGTAGGCCTTTGTTTGTGATCTTTTGGTCATTTTTAACATCGTAGTGCCTTAATTGCCCTAATGTGAGCATTCCTAGAGCCCTAAGAAGCCTCATTGTCTTTGTTGATAGAGCCTTGGAACTCACATTTTGTCCCTCCCTTTATTTTTTGGTTGCCCAAGTCAGTCTGGGCTGGTGAAATGTCACAGAGGGCTAAAGTGCTTGCAGATAAATTTGCTTGCCACCAAGTCTGAATTTGATCTTGGGACCCACATGGTATAAGTTAAGAACTAACTTACCTTCTACAAATGAGTTGTAGTGCACGCGTGCGCGGTATAAGTTAAGAACTAACTTACCTTCTACAAATGAATTGTAGTGCAAGTGCGCGCACACACACCAAACCCATTAAATACACAACATAACAAAAATGTTTAAAAAACAGCACTACCAAGATTATTATGAGCTGTCTTGAGAACTGACTTACAAGAGAGATAATTTTATAGTGTCACATTTAATCCATAGTAATAAAGTTTTTATTTTTTTTAATTTATTTATTTATTTATTAAAGATTTCTGTCTCTTCCC